TAGGTTGGTGGAAAGGTGGGGGGGGGTAGAGGGGGAGGAGGAATTTTTTTTTTTACAAAAATAGATTTTTCTTTTTGTTTTTGAAAAATAAAATATTTAGGGGTAGGTTGGTGGAAGGCAGGGGTGGAGAGCAGGGGGTGGTGGTGCCCGGGGAGGGGGTAAATTTTTATTTTATTTTTGCAAAAATTGATTTTTTTTTTGTTTTTGAAAAATAAATAAATTAGGGATAGATTGGTGGAAGTTGGGGGAGCGGCAGGGGGTAAACTTTTTTAGGGGTTGGTTGGTGAAAGAAGGTGGTTGCGGGGGTATGGGGGTACATTTATATTTTTGTAAAAATAAATTTATTTAAATGGGTTAGAACCATTTTAACCAAATCAATATTTGCCTATATTATATTTGGTTGAATTATTATCCAAATTATTTTTTCTCAAACCATATTTAACACATGCAAATACAATCCAATCCAACCGTTTGTCATCCCTAGTTTAGAGTCTAATGTCATTTTTTGGATGCTGTATTTTAAGATTTGATGAACTTTCATAGTGATTACGAGTAAATCTTTTCATTTCAATTATTTTCATCATATTTAACGAGCATAAACTATTAAATATTTGATAAAGACTAAAAGCAATAATTTTACTAACAAATTTAATTGATCAAATTTTTTAAAACATATTTAAGGCACTATTTTTAATTACTTTGAAACATAAGGGGAGCATTTTTGTTATTTTCTTTAAGTACAAGTATAAAAACAATTTAAAAACCTAACTTGGATAAATTCAATATTGACGAGACTATCTTGATATTTATAATTAAATTTTTTTCTCTATTGTTTAATTGTTTTCATCAAATTTATCGAATATATAAATTGCTAAATAAATGATGGGTACTAAAATTATTAAGTTTGACAAACTTTAAAAATAAAAATTTGTTTAGTAATTAATAGTTAAAGCTTTATTTTGAACTATCTTAAAAAATACAGGGACCATTTCTGTTATTTTCTCTGAGTATAAGAAGTAAACAATTTAAAAACCTAGCATTTTGGTAGGTATAAAAAGGACTGTCAGCCCAACCGCCGTCCGCCACCTCCGGCCACCATCGCTGCTGTAAAACCACCGTCTAACTCCATGAAATCCGGCTAGCACCTCAATACACCGTTAAAATTAAAAATCATGGCAACGGTACATTAAAACAGTCCAAAATCATCATTTCTTCACCAACAGAATCCCAGCGTTTAACTCACTAACGCCATTGACTAAATACAAGGTCCAGCAGCTCCTTTTTGCTATTTCTGGGGGTTTCTATCAGTCGAGGTCACTTCCTGAGTTCAGGTTCCTGTTAAGCCGATTTTTTTTTCATTTAAAGCATGTTGTGACTGATTTAAGCTTGTAATAAGAGATGGAATCATGATTTGAAGTTTATGCGCTTTGAAGTTACTACCAGATCCATAGCTCGTCTTAGTTACTTGATTCACAGTTAAAAAATTGTAGGTATTAGGTGATTTTTTATCATAAGTACATAGCTTAAGCAAAAACTACTCGGTTTGGCTGGAGCTGCTAATAGTACTCTAGCTCAACCCTTGCTTTGTAATGTATACATTGTGTCGATTTGAATCATGCGGATATTTTTAGATGACGAAATAGCTGAGATGATGAATCAGTCTATCATTTGAGTACTGTCTATTTGAAGACTCTAGGTTGTTTTCTTCATCAAATTTGTTGAGCAATGTAGTCAAGAATCCATGTGTGACTGATTTTCTTTAGGGAAATACGTATGTCTCTTTGGATAACATTAGCAGAATACTACTGAAAGCACAGTTCGTCCCCACTTGGTAGTTGCCATCATTCTTTATATCTTAATTCTCTTCTTCTCGACCATCCTTTCTGAGTTCCATCTACAATAAGTTGTAGATTCCCTTGGATATCATCATAATTCCTATCCGTTGCAAATTTAAATCGTTCAATTTAGATTTGTGATGTTGCTTGCTCAAATTATAAATTTAAAAGTGCAATTTCAAGATTATGTTGTGCCTGTGCAAGCTTTAAGCTCACATGTGACCATCTGCACTAATATAATTAGATAGTGGAAAACCCGAAGACGTTGTACAGGTATGCCTACCTCTTTAATTGGCATAGACTGTAAAATCTCTTAAATTATTGACAATTACTAGGATCTTCGGTGATTAACTAGGTTGACCTAGAACAGACTGAACTTCAGCCATATGTGTCTAAACTTCAGTCTTCAGCCATATGAAACTTCAGACATTGAGTTTGAAGTTGAACTGGAGCATCAATTTCCCCATCTATCCTCACTTGGAAATTACTCACTCAGACCTGAGCAATATTTCCGATTCTACAAAAAATTCCCATTGATACCTGAGTTCATCCCGGGATCACCTTGAATATGCCAAAATTTTAAATAGCCTAAGGCCTTCCATAGACTTCACTTCTATAGATCGTTGTCATCCCAATACCGTGTTCCTATCATTCATAAATACTGTCTACAATATCATGTCAAACACTGATAGTTCATACCTAACATTGAGTTTTGTTTTAGAAATACACTTTTCATCTCCTTCCACTTAATTTTGTCAAATACTCTAACAATATTGGACCACCATACTTTCATGTTTATGTTAAGAAGCATAACATAGGGGTTCTTTTGTTGGAGCTCTCACATTGGGCAAACATAGGTGATGTTGCTCCATTGTTGAATAAATTCAAGTTCGGGATGTTGATTGTGCATATACCATCCTATTAATTACACCTCCATATTGCGTTGTTTCGAAGTTGGATTTGCATATGGTGACATGAGGATATTAGATTATCAATTCACCTTTTAAGATGTAAACAACAATATACTAGTGTGATCCCACAAGTGGGATCTGGGAAAAATAGGATGTATGCAGACCTTAGCTCTACCTTTTGTGTAGTAGAGTGACTGTTTTTTAAGAAGTACAACAAAACTACACAAGAAAGACAACAAAATGGCAAAGTACAAAACAAATGTAACAACAAATAGTAGTACACTAGTACTTTTCTTTTCTCTCTTTTTTATCCCTCCCTAGGAGTTCCTACCTTTTTGCTCCCTTGGTGACTCAAACTCACAACCGTAGGGTTGGAAGTGAGTGGTGCTTACCATCCGAGCAATACGAGACTCCGCGACTACTAAATAGTATTGCACTATTACTAATGAGGGGAAGAGGAGGAGACTATATCCATCTACCTCTCCCACATAAAGGGTAAAAATGATCGGCTACCTCTAACCTTCAATCCTAATTAATGACCTCCACTTTTTTCTATCTAGGCTTATTCCTCAATAAGCTGGAGTTGTGCCATGTCATGTGTAATCACCTCCTAAAGTTCTTTTTGGCCTACCTCTACCTCTCCAAACTCTTGCCACAACCAACCTCTCACACCTCCTTATTGACGCATTTGTACACCTTATCTTCACATGTTCGAACCATATCAACCTTACTTCCCCTCATCTTGTACACCACGGAAGCCACTCCTGTCTTGTCGTGTACAGCTTTGTCCTAATCATATCTCTCCTAGGATTCCCATACATCCATCTGAGCATCCTCATCTATGCTATCTTCATCTTCTGAACATGTGTGTTCTTGACATGCCAAACTTGACCCCATACTTAACCATCTTAAAATTTCAATTCCAGTTTGGTGTTGGAGATGATCACCAAGTAGTTAGATTTGATGGTGGAAAGGAAGTAGTGGTTTCATGCTTGCTTCAAAGGATGGAAGCGATGACGCCCTGTTTGTCGAAATCTTTGTGGACCTTCTGGATTGCTTCACGTTTATTTATGCGATTGAAACAGTCAGCAAGTTTGCTACCTTGTTGAGCTACAACCTTGGGTAGAAAATCACAGACATCAGTATCAGATGAGAAAGCAATGCACACGCTTTTGAAAGCAAAACAGAATCTGTAATTAGCATTAAGTACAGATGCATCACTTTACTACTTTCTTTTGGGTGTGAAGCAGCTATTGCAAATGATATAGATGTCATGATAGATTTATTGGGATCTTTACACTTACAGCTGTGTGTTCTGCTCTCTCTGTATATACCTTTATCACTTTATTGTTACTTCATTTTCAATGAAGTAACCTATAACAATAATAAAAAAATTATAATATGAGGAACAAAAGCATATACACAAGAGAAAATGATCTGTATAGTCACCAATGCTGTAGCAGGCAGATTTTTCATCTGGGAGTCTACTTCAGCAACTAGCGTCTTGAACTTTTTGATGTTAATTTCAGCATTTTCTTCTGCTCATTAGTAAAGCATTATTGGAAATTTTCTAGTAAGATTTATGCGTATTGCTTGGCAACTAAGAGAGAGAAAATACAAATGGCAAGTCCATTGATTGATTTTAATGTTAATTTCATTTTCCTTAATCCGTGATTGAAAGAAATGATTTATAAATAGTAGCTAACAGTAACGACAAAATTCACTATATGCAGCACTTAATTAACTCTTTGCTGATACATCAGTTTAAAGAATTGATCATCATTACTGGGCCCTTCCTTTTTTCTTTTGGTTGTTATTTTGGTTAGTTTTCCAGAAACATGTTAGTTTTGTCACTTCAATTAATTTTTTTATCAATTAGGTTTCTCGGAGACACACCGTGCATCGTAAGAAATAACAGAGTAGTGATGGAGAAAGAAGAAGAGCTACATGAATCTTCTACTCCTTGCTTGCATTTAGTCTCTGCCTTCCTCGCCTGTGAACCCCCTGATTTTGTTGTCTCATTTGCCAGGTTACTAGTTTCAACCCTTGCTCATGTTAACTAACACCAAATATAGTGTAATTGCAATTGCACTCTTAATTGTTTCGTTTGACTGAATAATATGTGAATTACACTAGAGATTTTGGAGGTGGTTCCATTACGGAAAGAGTGCAAAGTTTCATATGGAACGTATGTATCAAGAAATCAGTAAGTTCATTAAACCTTTAACTGTCTTGTTAAAAGATTTCCTTTCCTGAATAGAATTATCTCTTGGGGTAGTTTTGTTTGATTTTCAATGAGCTTCTTAATGCTGCAGGATGTGAAGTGTAATTTGCCTTATTTGAAAAGATTCTTAAAGAAACTCATTGTTGAAATCGAGTCAAATGGGGACGTTGTTTTGGATGAATTGTATGAAAAGTATATTTATTGTCTGGCTTCTGTGAAGGTAAATATTTTTAAAAGTTGCTATCAATAATGATTAGGATTTTAGCATCACCATGTAACCATTGTGAAATTGGCCTTCTTTTTGTTGGAAGGATGATGAATTGGCAAAAGGAAGCACAAGAATGTTAAGAAGATTTTCGTTTCTATTTCCCAAGGGTGAGGAGTTTTTCTTTTCGTTTCTTTTTATAGAATAATGTTTAGCTACTTTTAGCAACCTTTAGTATCTAATTTTTGGTGTACACAGATTGTTCACAACCCTCGAGTTTTCAAATATTTAGGAAATTGGAAGTCACGTTGCAATGTTCACTCAACATGCTTGAAGGTGATACAGGGTATGTACTGTCCCATTTCTTTTTCTTTTTGAAGGGAGTTGACTTTATTCAAGGATACGCAGCCCTAGGTTTTTGAATTTGGTTGAAAGATACTTCCATGAGAACGTTTCAGAAATTTTAAATCTTTGGGTGCTTTATAACTTTTCTTATAGAGATTCTCTTATTGCAGCTGGGAATGACTAACAAGCTTTCTGGGGTAACTTAGTATGCAAAGTAGCAAGCTGGTTGACAATCTATATGTCTAAGCTCTTCCTTGCTTTTTTTGTTAAGGTGGTGTCCGGGTCAATTCTCTCTCACTTCGACTAATCCACTTGGTACCTGCTACCTCCCACATGTATAGAATAACTCCGTCCATTAAAGCAAGCTCAATTGAAAGAAGTCACTTAAGTTTTATATTTTTTGTTTTCCCTTTTGATGGGGTTTGTATCGTGGTCTTCTACGATGGACTTCAACTTCCAATCCTGTATGCTTACGCTTTATGTTGATAGCTACCTGTAGCCTATTTGGAAAGTTAAAAGTGCTTATAGGAGAGAGGTCTGGCCAGGGCTACGGGTCCCTTGCTCATGGCATGAGCTAACTGTGAGAAAGAGTTTGAGTGTCCAGGACTTCTCACGCAGGGGCTCGTGATGGGCAATGATATACTTCCCAACCCCATCTTCCCATCTTCATTTCCTTACTCCCAGGCTTACCGCTCGTGACATAAGGGACAACACGAGGGTGCCTGGGAGTTATATGTCACACATTCCAATGACCCCACCATTCTCATGTGGGCGCGAATACTCCTCAGAGTCACTTTAATTACATCGTTAGGCATTTGATTAGCCAGAAATAATTGATTGTATTTTTGAGGCTTTACAATAACTGCCTGATATTGTGAAAGATTAGCTTCTTTGTTGTTAGAGTCACTTTAATAAAATCGTTAGGCATTTAATTAGCCTGAAATAATTGATTGTACTTTCGAGTCTTTACAATAATTGCCTGGTATTGTGACAGATTTGCTTCTTTGTTGTTTTATAATTTGGTGCTGACATTCTATTCCCAGTGTAACGGCTGATTCAGTTTGTCCTCTGTATTTCTTGGTTGAAGCAGGTGCTCAATCTGGCCATCAGGTCTGTTCCTTTCAGAGTTCATACTTTCTTTTCCAGAAGTGTTCTCGGACAAATCTTGTCTTGAGGTGAGACAGCTGGTAGAAGTATTCATCTGTTTGTCTTAGTTTATCAAATTGTTCCACTACAATGTTTCTTAGGTAAAATTGAAATGTCTAATCTTGTTACATCTTTGTGGTTTTTTCTTAGGTCGAGTGTCCGTTTTTGTTTGTCGGTTGGCAATGCTCTTTTACGTGTGTAGTCAGCTTGATTAGTATAATAACAAATGTTTGCTATTTCTTGTATTTAATCTATTAACAAAGCAGGTTGGTTCGGGTGTTGGATTGGTTGGTGTCTGTCTAGCTCAGACAAATTGCTCCAAGGCAAGTTTCCTTGTTCATTCCGTCTTTTTCTGCAAATTCTGCCTCTTGTCTTTTTCTCAAATGCATCACACATTTATTTCTTGCTCATTTTGAGCTTCACTATGTGTGTGTTCCCGTTTGTAGATGGGATCATAATTTTGTATGTTCCTGAAGGAGGGTCCTCACGGAACAATTTTGGGAATCATTTTTCTCTTCCACTAATTGTATTTGAGGCTACAATTGACTTCATCTTCTCTATTCAATATGCCTCCTCGTCTTCTATTGAAAGTGGTTGGGGTGATTGACTGAACATATGGTTTTCTTTAGGTCGTGAAGCATGTAATTAATAATGACTAGATGTGACCTATCAATTTCCTCAACTACAATTTGGATCAAGCAACCGATGCTCTTGTCACCCAATTGCTAAAAGTGAAAGAGAAGCTCTCTTACAATCATGAACATTTCGTCTTATTTTTCCATAACATAGTTTTGCCATCATAAAATATGAACTAATGCATTCCAAGTTGTGGCACTTTTTGCTTAGTCTAGTAGTTTATTAGACGGTATTTACATCCTAGGATAGACATAATGGCCGTCCTTGTTTTAGTTACTGAAACAATGAACATTTTAGAAGCCTCGGTTAATAGTATTCCTATTGTTGAACATACTACTGTTCTTTTGAATAATACAACAACATATTAGTATAGTCCCACAAGTGGGGATCTAAGGAGGGTAGAGTCTAATTTGTCCCACAAGTGAGGTCTAAAGAGGGTAGAGTGTACATAAGACCTTACCCCTATCTTGTGGAGGTAGGCAGACTATTTTCGAAAGACCTTCGGCTCAAGTCATCAAATAAGAATAGTCATGAGCGAGGAAATACAACAATGAAGAAAACATGGCAACTATATAGGAAACAACACAAAACATATAGAAAAGGAATAATAACGTCATGTGATAACATATATCAAAGACAAAGAAATTCCATGAATAAGGCTAATAGTACAACTTACATGACGCTCTAGACTACCATTAAGCGTACTCCCATTGAAAAGTAAGACAATGCTCAATTACATTCTAACGCTATTCTACCCTAATTTGCGACCTCCATATACTCTTTATTTAAGGTTATGTCCTCGGTAAGCATGTCTTGTTTAATCACTTCTCCCAATACTTCTTTTACCTATCCCTACCTCTTTTTGTTCCCACCATATTCAACCTCTCAAACCTCCACATTAGGACATTTGCTCTCTTCTTTACATGTTCAAATCATCTCAACCTCGCCTCCCTCCTCCTCCTGTTCACCACGGAGGTCACTTCCACCTTGTTCCAAAACTCATCATTCTTAATCTTATATATTCGGTATGCCGACACATCTATCTCAACATCCTCATTCGGCAACTTGCATTTCTAAATATAGGAGTTCTTGATTGCCCAACACTCCACCCCATACAACAAAGTCGGTCTAACCACCGCTTTGTAGAACTTACCTTTAAGTTTTGGTAGTACCTTTTGTCGCGCAAGACCGCATCAATATGATGTGTTACATGATAATCGATCTCCCCATTTCCTTAGATAAAGGAAGTAGTAGTTGATTGAATACCTATTTATGCTGATATGTAGCATACATTTTTATTAATTAAAATTACTTATGAGGCAATGATCAGATTATTAAATCGTTCACTTATTTTTGTCAGAAATTGCTCTAAAATCTAGTATTGTTGCATCTCAATTTTGATGATGCAACAAGCCTCATAATTGGATTAACTTTCAACATTTTGGTTCTATGTTACATCAACATATACCCAGTGAAATTCCAAAAAATGGGGTCTGGGAAGGGTAGAGTGTAAGCATGCCTTATCACTACCTCTACGGGGTAGAGATGTTGTTTCTGAAAGACTCTCGGCTCAAGAAAATCAAAGCAAAAACATGAAGCTCAACTTGGAATTACCAAAAGAGAAATGATTAATTTAGAGTCTTCTCCATATGATGATGCAGGTAATACTTACAGATGGTGACTTATCAACTTTAGCAAACATGAATCTCAACTTGGAGTTAAATCAGCTGGGCACTGATATGTTAGGACATACACAAAGAAACAACACGGTTAGTGGTCATAATTTTGCTTGTTTGTGTGTCTTTTTTGATCTTACTATTCTTAACTTCTTCCCGTTCTATTTTGTTTGAATGAAGGTTGGTTAGTTTGACAATCATAGGCTTCATCAAGCCTGCTTGGGTAGAACTGGTAGAGAGTTGTGTACTTGCTTTATTATCTATAACCAAAAGAAGTGTTGAGGAAGCACCTGCCGACCTGATTATTGAACAGTAAAATTATATTAATTTTACAGCTAGGCGTAATTTATGCGTGTAGATGTTCTATAGTGCTACTAACTCAATTTCTTCAACAGTCCAAGGCATGGTGTATTTGGTTTCTCAAAGAATTTTTTAACAAAAAAATTTTATAACGATGGTTTGCGGGTCAGTTTGCGAACATATCATCTATTTGATCATTACCTGCAGGCTCCCACCAATACAGATACTATGTAACTCCACGTCTTCACCCACTAAGGATTAACTAGACTTGTACCTACTCTAATCTCCCATGGTCTTCATTCCACCTTCGTTGACCATTATATTGCACCTTTGGATATTTTGCCAAGCAAACGGTTGATATCCAATCATGGGAGTCCAAATAGTTTTGGGAATCATTTACCATTTAAGTTGAATCGATGTTATAGGGGATGAAAATCTTAATTATTATTCTGCTTATCCACTACTGCATGCCGCACAAAGTATATATACCAAAAAAAAGAGGAAGGCTAAGAACAAAGAAATCCAGAGTGTGGCCAGGAAGTTTATGAACTCTGAACTCAAAATGCTGACTGTTACTGGTTTTCATTATTTCCATCATAGTTACAAATATATTTGTGGATGAAGTTGAGCATCTAACCTAAACCTTAAGGCAGTCGATGGAGTGGCGTAGGAAATATAAATTCTTTAGAAACCTTTACACAACCAATGATGGACAAGTATAGCAGTTTCTAACACTTCATGGCATGTGTAACCTCCTTCAAGGGTTTACACATGCATTTGATTTTTATTTATTTTCTTTATAAGTAGAAAGGGAGGAGGCCCAACAGAAGTGATCTTGGGGTAGAGGAAGATAGATTAGGCTCAATATGCTGATGAGTGGACCTGGAGTAGCGCCGGTGGCTCGATGTGAATTGCGGGAGAGAGATAGAGTAGCCAAAGCAACCCCATGGATTGGTTGAGAGAGAGAAGCCTAGAGTGACAAAAGATGAGAGATGAGGTTGTTAAAAAGTTTGACAAAGTTTGGCTCTGATACCATGTAAACCCCTTTGCCGACTTTCACACCACCTAGAGTGATAAAACATGAAGAAAGAAGAAGGTTGTGTAAATGGGCTCATAAAGTTTTAGCTCTGATACCATGTGAAGGAATCTGAGCATACGACCCAAAACCTTAAGGCAATGGATGGATTAGCCTAGACATTATAAACCCCTTTGGAAACCCTCACACAACCAATGAAGGTCAAGTGTAGCATTTTCTAACTATATACGGTGTAATTGTAGACTTCCTAGATGGAGTAATTATCTATAAGAACATTTGTATAAATAGTTGGGTTGGATGAAGAATTTGTTCTTATTGTTAGAGAGAACACCGTGTGGTGTTCTTATTGTCAAAGCAAACACGCTTTGGGGTTCACATGAAAATACAAGAAAAGTTTTTTAAAAAGAGAGCGTAATGATTGTAGAAAGAGACATTTTGGGCGCCTACTATTTGGTTGCCAAACAAGTTGCAAATAAGCAAATCTGATTGGTTGAAAGGGACAGAAGCTTTTACATTAGCCTTCCATTTCTTTCTTTGAAATATCATTTCAAAGAGAAATACAGAGAGAGTTAAGAGCAGTTCACAGACAATGATATAAAATATCCTGTGAAGAAAAATAGAGACTGTGAGCTGTGTTATAGTGAGGTGGCTAAAATAAAAGTAGGTTCTTTCTTTTGAGTTTGTTGCAGTCTTTCAAGACTATCAAGTGTGTTTAATTTCCCACCATAGTGTTTTCGTATTGCTCGTCTCGAGTATTAAGGTGGATATTATTCTTGTGTGATTAATATTTCCCAACACACAGCACATGAAAGAAATTGTCTCAAGGTGCTTGTTGAATTTAAACCTTCTAAAATAAAAAGAAAGTCGATGGACTATTTTATTTTTTTCAGAACCTATGATGATTGCCTCCATGATTGGTTCCTGTTGCTGCTAGTGTAGTCCATGATAACTTTCTTCTAGTTTTTGATCTTTGACGGCTGGCTTCCATTCACAGTGAATGCAATTGACTGCCATTGTAGGATGTTTAAATGATGTATCTGAAAGTGGTACAAGTTACTTGGAAGGTGAAAGTAAAATTTCCAACATCTTATTGTGGTTCCTGAAAACCGAGTCACTGCAAGATGAGGACATCCAGTTTTCGTATTTATATCTATTGCTTAATTCTATTAGGGATTGTTTTTTGGGTACATGCCTTGTTTTTTGAGGCCAACAAATTTTTCGTATAAAGTTAGTCATTGGAAACCGGAGTTCCTTTTAAGTCATTAGCATAAACATGATGTTAGTGAGTTTCACAATTTGAGCCATTTATGTGTCTGAAATGTTGTTGTTTAAGCACTTATAAACTTTTTGGTACCTTCTTGATACTGTTTTTACCAATGAAGTACTTTATCTTTTCAAAAATACAATATGTATCTAAAGTGTCTCGTAGAGTTGGGATAAGTTGCAGTTAAGACATATCTCTTTGGATTCAGTTGCAGTGCTTGTATTTGCCATGGGAGTCTGCCGCAGAAAATGAGCTACGTGAATTCATGCCAGATATAGTGTGAGTAGTTCCTCTTAAGTTTGCTTTTGTTATTTTTAGTACCACAGGTACTACTTTCCTTTACTGTAATACTTTAGTCTTTTAGGAATGGACTTGCAGTTTTAACCGTTAGAAATCTTGTGGAGAACAATAAATCAAAAACAGATGAATTTTGTAGGCCATTCCAGTTAAGAGACTAAACCACCGATGCTGCACTATTTGATCTATTATAGTAAATTTGAGTATTGATGGGGAGCTTTAATGTAACTGGTAAAAAGTTGTTGTCATGTGACTAAGAGGTCATGGGTTCGAACTATGGAAACACAACCTCTTGTAGAAATGCAGAGTAAGGCTGCCATATAATAGACCTTTATGGTCCAGTCCTTCCCCAGACCTCTCGCATAGAGAGAGCTTAGCACATCGGGCTGTCATTTTTTATAGTAAATTTGAGTATCGTTCCTAAAGGGTTGTGGTGTTAAATAATTTTTTTAACTATCCTCGATTGAGTTTCAAGCCTAAGTATTATGTTGCCTTCATTAGGACCGGCTTTTGACATTTCCTCTTTAAAGTTTGGGTGCAGATGTGATATATGATCCACTGTGCCTCCCTCACCTTGTTCGAGTCCTCGCGATTCTTTTGAAGCGGGAAGATCTCAACGTAAGTCATTTAAATAATGGCTGCAAGGACTCCTATCCACCTGACCGGAGATGTTTTGAGAGTGAAGAAACTAGTTCAGCAGGTGAGCTTGATATATATGGTGATCCTCATGCTGAGCATTTGTCGCCTGTTGCATATATTGCCTCGGTAATTCGCACTATCGACACATTCAATTATTTCCTTTCGTTGGCAGAAAAAGAGAAGTTACTTGTATCCGACATCACTGAAACAATGAAGCCACTTGACTTGCTTCCTTATGTAAAGTCATACCAGCGGTCTAACGTAAGGATGTTTAAAATTTCATATTTGTACAAATAAGACTAGTATGTAACCAGACAGACTTAAGTCTGCTGTTTGGAAATCTCTGGCTTGTTGCCACAGGTGAGAAAAATGTTCAAGTATACTATTACAGGAGGCGGAAGTTTTTTTTTTTTTTTTACGAGGTACAAATAGTAATTTCTCTTTATTTGATTCGTTACGAAATCCCTTTGACTTTGAGTAGTAGTAACTAATTATTGGTACAAGTGAGGAGGTAGTCTAGGTTTAGCAATAGCCATCAATGGCTTAGCTTTAGGCATAGTCATTCCATAAACTTCATTTGTGTCAATATCTTGATGCTTTACTCCATTTGGTGGATTCCAATCATAGCAATGAAACAACCTAGCCAATGCCATAAGCACCAATTTCACACCCAATGGTGCACCAGGACACTTCCTTTTTCCAGCACTAAATGGCAAAATCTTGAAATCTGGACCATGACTAATCTCAACTCTATTACTACTACTACTACTACTAGTCAAGATCATGTTTTTTTCATCACCATTTGGTGGCAAATGTCTCTCTGGCCTAAACTCATCTATGTTGTCCCAAATCTTTGTGTTCCGGCCAAGACCATGCGTGTTGATGAACACGCGTGTCTTGGCTGGGATGTAATAGCCGTTGATCTTAGTATCTCGAATTGATTCATGTGGTATTAGGAATGGACCCGCGGGGTGCATTCGGAATGTTTCGCGTACTACACAACGGAGGTACTTGAGATTGATCAAGTCGGATTCGGTTACCATCCGACCCGACCCGACTACTATATCGAGTTCTTCTTGGATCTTTTTGAGGACATGTGGATGTCTGATCACCTCAGCCATTGCCCATTCGTTGGTCACAGCAGAAGTGTCTGTGGCTGCAGCTATCATATCCTATAATTTAATCAAAGAAAAGAAATAAGTCACAGCAAAAAAAAAAAACACTTGTAGCTCTATTTGATACTATTAATGTAGCAAACATATATGAAAACTTAAACTCTATATTTTAAATATAAATCAAGCTTAGAAATCTCCTCTATTTTTTCTCGACTAGTGTCCGATATCCCCATTAGAGTCCAACAAAATTTGGGTTTGCACCAAAAAGTCCACATTGCTCCCAAACAAAGATGACTCTGTATCCAGATCTCTAGTTATCACTCCACTACAACCTCTGTTAGTCAAGCTTAGAAATCCATGGGTGGTACTTGTTGCTTACCAAATACATATATATTGGATACATATATATGTAAGTAGTTTGATATATTAAATAGGTAGAAAGTTGGTATATAAAAAAAAAAAAAATTAGACCTGAATTAGAGCTTTAATCTCTACATCATCCATATGTTGTTTTCCATTGCCATCTCCTTCATCTTCTCCTGGTAGAGATAATAAAACATCCACAAAGTCCATTTCATCATCATCAATATTATTATTATTATTATTTTTACTACCTTTCTTCTTTCTATGTTCTTCAATTATTCTCCTATGAAAATCATCAATCCTTTTTTCAACATCCCTCATTTTCTTCTCACATCCATGAGGATCAATCCACCTCCAAAAAGGTAAATAATCACCTAAATATATCACACCAAGTAACCAAAATAACTCATGTGTTACATGCATAAATTCCATTGCTTCTTGTGGACCTGCTGATTCTGCCCCAAAATATTGTTTACCTAACAACATTCTAGTCACATTATTCATTGAAAATCCACCTAAAACTTCCCTCAAATCCACTATTTGTCCTTTTTGGGCTTTGGTCCAAATATCTTTAACTAAACTTTGGGCTTCATCTGCCCTATGTTTTGCAAATGATTCAAGTCTTTTTGTTGTCAATAAATGTTCCATACATATTCTTCTCATTCTTTTCCATTTTGGACCTAAAGGAGCTAATGCTACATCCCCACAACCATAAGCTAGATGAATGGCAGCAAGAGTTCTTGGCCTAGATGCAAAAACATCATCTTGTTGTACAAGTATTTCTCTTATGATTTCTGGATCATTTGTGGTGATAGCATCAACATTACCTTTTAAGAGAAAACAAAAGAGGCGGAGTCAGGATATCAACTATATGGGTTCAAAATGTTAGAACGATGTATTCAAGTGCTAATAACTCGGTCTTTATATTTGATGTGTGTACATATATAATGATGGATAAACTACTTAAGCAAAATTTACTGAGTTTGACCGAATCTGTATAAGCCTTTTGCCTATCAACGTTTGAACTATATATGAGAATTAACGTTCACTTATCACTTTCTAATCATATTTTTGTAAAATATTATTGTTCATCGAGTTGCAACATCTTGAAATTTCCCTTATGAATTTGAAACTCGAAAACAATGACTATTTATTAATTTACGAGGATGAAAAAATAGTCATTTGTGAATCTTATTTTTACCTAGTCGGAGATAGACTAATGGCCCATATTTTTCGCAGAAAGACGCCATGTCTCGATGAGGTAATTGCCCTAATTGAAAAAGGTTGCCTACAATAGGCCATTGTTTTGGACCAGGAGGGAGTCGATTGATTTCTCGTTTCGACTTATCGACGAATGAAAAATGAAGTAGCTTGGAAATAAGATATGCGCCAAAAAGGAATATACTATAATTGATCAAATTAAGAAGGTATGTGCAAAGAAGGACAATAACAAAACTAGTCAAGTCAATCATTTTTAATTATTTGTCAAAGAAGAAGTTTACAAAGCCTTAATAATGAAACATGTTGTTTAATTCTAATTTATAATCTTTTTTTAGGCGATTAGGAAGCCCATCATCTTGATATGTTTCAACTACAAGTATTAATCTTGAAGTCACACTTTTTTGCTTCCTCAATTTGCACAATAAGTTTGAATTAATTTATGAACAAGTTGCTTTTTTTTGTTTATGGGAATAATTTAATGCAATTTACATTAATGAATGCTCTAGACAACAATATTATAGGCTAGCAAGTAGCACCAGAGTAAAATGGAAAGATTGAGCTGAATTAGAAATAGTAAAATGGATGAAATCAAGAAAAAATAAATTGATGTAGCGTATTATGTTAGGATCGAATCCCCCCACACTTGATGAATGAAGAACACAAAAATTTTCGAGAGAGAGATGAGAGATATAGAGAGAGAAAGAGAGAAATCAATAATTCGTGGTAACACCCCATGGGTAAACTTCCACGGCCGTGGATATATATTAATAATTCAGAGTATGAACAGTTACAGAGAATAATTCAGAATATAAACAATTACAGAGAATAAATGGAAAATGAACATTAATATATGACAGTATATCAAATATTAATCAGGCTCCACAACCTAACATATTATACTCTCTTATAAGGGGGTACTTTTTTTATATAATTCTATTTTATATATAGACTTGTATATGTATTTGTGTATTTGAATCCCTTAAGAAAAATATTTTTAATATTTTATATTTGATTTACTTTCAAATTGATTTATTTTTCTAGAAAAATTACTTCCCTATATAAAAAAAGAATTTTCTTTTTCAAAACATTACCTAAACCTCACCACCCCAAAATGAATCCTAACTCAAGACCCGACTACTATCTTGGATCTTGATTGATAAACCTTTGATCTCATTGGGGACCTAATTTTCGACTTCAACCCGGGGACCTAACTCATGACCCACATATCCTGACCCCAACTTAAGACCCCGATTCCTCACCCTCAATTACTCTCTATCTATTCTAATCTGAAAGATCTTATATCAACCTTGATCAGAGACTCGAATCTCAATTCCAAGTTGGAACCCCACCCCTAATCTCTTATCACGACTAGATTTTCAACCACAATTTAATTGGGATTGCACTCAACTCGCAATTTAAAGTATAGTAATGTTAAATGAAGTCAAATTAAAATACATATTTATATATTATATTATATAAAATAAAAAGTAAGATAAATAAATTAAAAGTAAATCTAACAAATTTTTTTGATTGATTGTGATGGTAGTGTGTACAAAAAAATGGACAAAGTTGTTGACATATGGTAGGTGGACGCCCCATCACTTTTTGTAGAGTAGGTGAAAAAAAAATCCAAGCTAATTTGTCCATTATGCAAATAGAATCCAAGGCAATCCATAATCAAACAAACAACAAATTAAATAAAAAAAAGCTCAAAATAAAATATTTTATTTGAATCGAATGTGAAAAGAGATAAATATTAGTTTTATTTTTAATTATTGAAAGTCTTAAAAGAACTAATTAATTAAATAGAATACGGATCTTATAATATCAGTGAAATTCATTCTCAAATTCTCGTTAAATTTAGGAGTGTTTTCAACACTTTTCTCGATCTTTTTTATTAAAAGTTTCGTATTCCAATAAAAAATTGAGACCATTTGTTATGTCACATGAAAGATTAAGAGTGTATCAATATTAGATTTAGAGACAAAATTAATAATCAACATTAAATTTAAAGTATTTTCAATACGTCTCCATATTGAAATTAAAGTTTTTTTTTATATGAATTTCGCTTAAAACAAAAAAGAATTACTGTAGTCCAACTATATTCTATTTCAAATATATTGTAGTTCAACTAATAAATATCTTACACAATAAATCTAAGATTTTGTTTGATCATAGGGATTACTTTAAGCAAGATCTCTCTCATACAAAAATGCCATCATTAACTAATTAATCAAGATTTGCTTGTTGTGGGTTAGCCAAAACATACTTAATTATACTTTTAACAACATGTTAGTGATGAGATATCTTTATCTTTTTTCCCCCATCAATTCCTTTCCCACTTTATTAATAGTCTATTTGAAAACCACCTGATAATTAAAATTGATTCAGTTACCAAAAGAGTAATTATCAATTTAATAATTACATAATTTAGTAAATAGTAATTATACTGACCTGTTTATTTATCACATCGTAATTGCAGTTATATCGTTTGAATGCAAAATTTCTATCATAAGATTATATAAGATTTTAAAATTAAAATTAATTGTTTAAAATTTAAATTTGACGAATAAAAACCTTTATAAATGTTATTAATTTAAATTCAGATCTATATTGTCTTTTGAAAATATTCTAATTAATAAACATATGTTTTAACTAATATTATGAAAAAATAATTGATTTATATTTTTTAAATCAATTATTTCAATTGAAT